TAAAGAAAGAATAACTAGGTCACTTAAAAAAACAGTCCATTGAATTCATTTGATTAGTTCTTCTTCCCTTCCCTTTTTTTTTCCCCCCATTTTACTTTTATACCTGGTTTTAGGCTACTGAAGTTCCTCAGGCATAGCTCCTTGGGTTGATGATGAGCATTTTAACCACTTCTCTTGCAATTGCTGTATAGTCACAATTGCTTAAAGCACAGCACAAGCCTTATTCAAGTTATTAAATCGTCAATTTTAAGCCTGCTATGTATAAATGATATTATATGGTTACAGTATTTAATATTTTTAATATTTTTTCCTGAGATGTGTTCATGTCATTTCAGAGTAATAGAGACCATTATGAGACCTCACAGTAAAGAGAAATTTCTGTGACAAGTATGGAACAAGTCAATTACTTGCTCTTAACTTATTTTTCATATTCAACTCAATTAATGTTAGTAAAATCATGTACTGTGAATGACAAAAATGAAATTCACTCAGTGAAAAATTCTGCCAGCAGAAAAGGAATGCATTCTGGTTTCAGATTTAAATATTACTCTTTTATCTGAAAGAATAGCCACATGCAGCATTTATTAATAAGTACATCTCAATGAAAGCCTACAAAATAAAATATACTGCATCTATGCATAAAGAAAGAAAAAAATCAAATTAACATTACTTACTTGATTAAGTATATCTTGTTTCTGTAACACATGCAAGGAAAGAAAGAACATACATACGTTAGTGCAGTGTCATCAACACTCAAGCTTTTTTTAATGATATAAATATTTTTAGTGAAAGGTTAGTGATTTAGATGAGCAGGTTTAAGACATTAAATAGAGTATCCCATTTTCTTGCATTAGCACGTAAGTCAAGAAAATGGTTCTAAGTCAGCTTTCTAGTCTTTATTAGACAGTGCAAGCAATTAATTTCTAAATATGCAATGACAGACAACCAAGAAAGATAAAAAATTACAATGTTAGTCTTTCTTCTGTGTGTACTTTAAAAAAACATAAAAAAATTGTTACCAAGAAGAGATGTAAATGAAACTGAATTCAGTTATCAGAACTGAATATTCTAAAATCCACATGGGAAGTTCATGGAGATGATCCTCAGTGCCACCACACGGCATATACAGGAACACCAGGGGATCAGGCCAGGCCTGCAGGAGTTTCATAAAGGCAGATCCTGCTTGATTCCTTGGTCCTTGACACCTCAACTCTATCCATGACAAGGTGACCCGCTTAGTTGATGAGGACATTGTCTACCTGGACTTCTGAAGAATGTTATCATTAAAGTTGGAAAAGACCTCTGAGGTCTTTAGTACAGCCTTTAACACTGCATTCTCCTGGAGAAACTGTTTGCTCATGGCTTGGACAGGCACACCCTTTGCTGGGTAATGAACTGGACAGGTGGCTGGGATTAGGGAGTGGGGGCCAGTGGAGTTACATCCAATTAGTAGCCAGTCAGAAGTGCTGTTTCCCAGGACTCACCAAGTCCTGAACAATATCTTTGCCAATGATCTGGACAAAGGTATGACTTGAACCTCACTCAGTCTGAAGATGATGCCCTGCTGGGCAAGAGCTTTGATTTCCTACTTGAGAGTAGGAAGGCTCTGCGCAGGGATCAGGACAGGCTGGATCAGTGGGCTAAGGTCAGTGATACGAGGTTTAACAAAGCCAAGTGCCAGCTCCTGCCCTTGGGCTACAGCGAGCCCAGGCACCTCCATAGGCTGGTGGAAAACTGGAAAGCTGCCCAGTAGAAAACGAGCTGGGGATGCTGGCTGACAGTCAGTTGAATATGGGCCAGCACATGCCCAGGTGGCCAAGAAAACCAATGGACTCCTCCATAAACAAAAAATTAGGATGAACTCAAAAATTATGACAACACTAGGACTGCAAGCACAAAATGCTGTGTACTTACTGCCCATGTAGATGCTGTCTTTAGCTCTATCTACTTCCCCAATTCCTGCCAACCTACTCAATGCTCCCCTCAAAGTGAAACGGATGAAATTAATTAACATAAATAGATCTCAAATGATTAAAAGAGTATTTATAAATCACAGCTTTCCAAGATGCTTAGGTCTTAGACTATATGTCTTATACCATATATAAAATCTATTCTAAATTACGTCTTTGATATTGACTTAGAGAAGAATATGAAAGGGCAGGTGTTCAATAGAATTTGCAGAAATTTTAAGCATCTCCCTTACACTGAAAGCAGAGTAAAAGTTCCATAAATAAATTCCCTATAGTAGATAACCTTATGATAATTATATACACCACTTTCCCTAATCCCAAAATCCACTCACTCAATAAGACATAAAATAATGTAAAAACAAACCAGGTTATTTCAGGTAGCAAGTATTGAATATGGATGGCTTTTCTTTTGCTATTTGTATGCCATTAGATAAGCTTGTGATAAAAAAACTGCATTGTAAAACCAGGGGAGTGCAATAAATTCCTGAATTCTTTAAATATGTAATTAAATATTTAAATAAATATATAACTTTGCTGAATTTGCCATAGGTCTATTACCCATGTTTATTGGTAAAAAAACTGGCATCATCTTTTGGTAGAACAAGACTTAAATAATTTGGAGTGTTCATAAGATAATGATCTAGGAAAGAGTGAAGTAAAATAAAAACATGATGGTATCCTCTACAAAACAAAACCACAAAACAAAAGTGCTGCCTAGAATACGTGGAAACAAATAGCTGCACTAAGACTGATGCCAGTTGGATCAGTTAATTTTTGTCATCTCAGAGATAATAGTTAATTACTTACTCCCAATACACAGAGTCCTCATCCAACCACATAAAATCAAGTTACAAATCATTCTGTAGAGTTTACCAATACAGCAGGCTGAATGTATGCCAGAAATACAGACACACCTGTGCAAAGGCAGTTCACGTGTCAGAACAGAATATTCACTCAGTGCCAGAGGAAATTTCAGCCACTTTGCTTCCAGTTCAGCAGCTTATGGTATGAACCTCGAGCTAACAAACCTTAGTAGATCCAAAGTAGTTCGTTGCTAGCTATGTTTTCTTTACGTTGCACTCCCTGAAGTCTAAGTGCTGAGCAGCAAACTAGAAAAGCTGTCAGGGTTAGCCTAGGTCCAGTACTGACCCAGGAGCAGTGAATAGCTTGATTCCTGCTGAAGACACTGAAGTTGTCACAGGGTGTCTTGTCTTGAATTCCTTCTTCCCCTACCCTCCTCCTGTCCTGCCCTGCTGCTCTGCATGTTTTAATACCCTGATAGAACCCTGCAAATGAATAGCACTGAAATGAAGAACAGGGAGACACCATGCAGAGTCACAGACTCATCTCAAGACCAACTGCTTATTAATTTTGGCTTTGCACAGATTTTGTCAAATCACCTGGCTCCAGGCAGAGCAGTCTTCCTGGGCACTCATCTTGCCATGACTCAACTCCCATGTAGTCACAAATTGGAAGAATGACTTTATTAAAAGAGACTAATCACACCACTTTAGATAATCAAGTTTATATACAATTGACAATTTGAAAATATGTTACCCATATGGCAACATACTATTTAAATACACAAAGTGGACAGATATTATTTACATTAACAGGGTACACTTCATAATGATGACTTCATAATGATGACTGAACACATGTGAAGAACACATAGAAGAAAAAAAACATATAATAGATTAAGACCATTTTATCAGTTCACATTTTTTCTAAAAAAAAAAAATTCTGTTCAAAACTGTGCATTTTGCTCTGCGCCAGTACACTATTTAAAAAAAAAAAAAAAAAGAACAAAACCTGAAGTATGTATATACATTCTAACAAAAAGCAGGTAAAGGAGGTCCTACAGCCTATGGATGATAACAGCATTCCTATCCATTTATATTCTATGAATGTACTTAACTAGAAACCTGGAAATCTAAGATGATCTTTTACAGGATCAACTCACACTGTTTCACTGAATTATTAATTTTTTTCCTCAGAAACTGACTAAAATAACTAGCATTATGCCTGGCCAAGTTCAAAAGTACCAAATGATTTTTCAATACTTAATAAGCTATAACTCATTAGTTGACAATATTTGTATTATTGTCAACAATTTTTTGCATTTTACATCCTGAAATGTAGGATCAAGTAATTTTCATAATGGTTAGCACATGTTTCTATCCTGAATTTCAAATAATGTAAGTACATTACTATTAGAAACATTACTGAAACAGGTTTTTATTTAGCTACACTCTGAATCACACTATTAGGATGTGCTAAGCAAATGCAAATTTCAATTGAGGATAAGAAAAGAAAATAAAACAATCTGGCTTTTTCTTCCAGTCAAATCAGAATACTTTGTCTAGTGGTGAATCTGTAACGACAATGTGCACACGCAGCTTTTTTTTCAGCTGAATTCTTTGTTTCATAACATCAGAAAATCTCACTAGCAGAAACAACACAAGGAAAACAGAATTTTAAATGAAATCTTAATGGACTTCACTTTTATAACTTTTGAAAATATGCTTAACATTTCCAATCTTCAGCAACTTGAAAACCATATTAATCTCACCAGAAGGGTCGTGGAGGTGTTTTAGGTGTTTGGGTTTTTTTTGGTGGGGGTCAGGAGGGGAAAGGGGAAGGGGATCTATGTGCTGATTTTGGTTGAAATAGAGTTAATTTCCTTCACAGTAGCTTGCATGGAGCTGTGTTTTGGATTTGTGCTGAAAACAGTGCTGGTAGCAGAGGGGTGTTTTAGATACATTCATCAAGGCCTTTTCTCAAGCCCCCCAGCGAGGCAGCTGAAGGTACCTAAGAATTTGGGATGGGATACGGTTGGGATAATTGACCCCAACTGACTATAGAGATATGCCAGATCGTATGGCATCCTGTTATTTTGCTTTCCAAACACTTTCAAATACCCCAAACACCTGATTTATAAACAATCTTCTATTTCAAATGCTTACAATGGCTACAGAATGTGCAAATTGTCCTCATCATCTCTGATCATTAAGAAACGAGAAAAATTACCCCTTCAGGATTATATTTTGCTAACACACCACTGCCATGGAATTCTTCTAAGACATCCTTAATTTTCTTGGTGGAATCTGGATAAAAAAATAAAGAGAGAGAAATTGAAAATACAGAACACTGATTTACATAATATGAACTGTAATTAAAAAAACAACAATCAAAACTGCTAATAGCTTTTCACAATGCACATTAGTAATTTTCTGTAGCTGTATGAGAGCTGTGGGCACAAAGAAAATGAGAACATACTTTACCTTCTTAACAAGTACTGCAAAAAGTAACAAGTAAACAGAAAATGCTCAGAAACACTCTTAGATCTAATTCTTAATTATGCTATTTAATAGTTGTTTTTTTCATGACTATTTCAAATCACTTTTCTTGTCCTTGAGTCAACCACAAAACATGGTCATGTCCACCAGCACTATAAAATCTCCTTTGGCAGAGCTGCCAGTGAGTAGAGGAGCTGGACAATATAAAGATAAATAGGAACCTTCCAGAAAAAAAAAATCTCTTCAGTGGTCATGTTACAGAAAACAAATGCTGCTGTCAAAAACCTCGATTTTTGCAAATCTCTCAGGTATTCTAAAAACTATCAGCTTCAGTAACTTTGGTCTAACAGAATTCTACAAATCCCTGCAGCTCACAATCAGGTAGATATATTTTTTTTCAATTTATTTTAACTACGTGTAGGATAACAAAGCAATTATTTCAGTAAGTTGTCATTACATAAAACCCTTGAACTAAGATCCACTTAGAACTCATCATACACATAACCATCTTTTCCATATTAAATTATCTCAGCAATACATGAAAAATAATTTTAACTCATTTGTTTCTTTAAAATGCAGTAGTTGAGTGTACAATGGCCAAATGTGCATAATTGCCACAACACCTTGACCTAGTAATGAGTACCAAAGCAGTGAGTAAGAGAACAGATGAACTTTGCATCTGCAATTTTATTTCTACAGCAAAACCTGAGGAAAGTAGAGAAGCAAAGAACGAACAAAGAACAGGACTCTCTAGAGCCATTATTTTGGCACTTAATATTACAAACATTAGGACCTAATATGACTTTTATTAATTAAATCAACAAAACATGGCATTGTGATAGTTCTTAGACTTTAAAAATATCCAGCATCTTAAACCTGACTCTAAAATGTACATTTAGCAAATTATGTGACCTAAAAGGAGAAAATGCAGCAGCCAAGGACTTGAACAACAGTTATGTAACAGTTCTGTAACAGTTCATAGCAGCTATTAACAGGATACAACACTGAAAAAAAGTTTTAAGAGGTGTTGGAGGAGGTGTTTCCCTCCCACTTTCATACACAGTTTACACAGTAATAAGTATGGCTTTTGCAACATTTTTCATTTACCAAATTTTATTAAATAAAAAAACCTGAGACTATGTGTGGCCTCAATAATTTTTTTTTATTTTCACTAACTGGATATATTTCAACTTTACTGTCATCTATAAGCAATGTCGTTTAGCAGGCCTCATGGCAGTCAATGCAAATATTTATTGATAAAATCATCTATAATCTTATTGCTTTGTCATTTGAATTACAACAAAAAAATCACAACTTTATGTAAAAAAAAAATAAAAAGAATAAATAAATACATACATTAAGCAACAAATTTTATTACCAGCTGTAATTAGAAGCTGGGTTAGATGCTTACGGACCAGGAAAAGCACACAAACTGGTCCTGACAAAAAATTCTTTAATTTTTTTCCTATTATTTTAATATATTTTTCAGTATTCATATACCTGATTGCATATAAAAATCATGGCCTCTTATGCTAATGCTGTCAATAACTACAAAAGCAGCAGTGTGAGATGAGCAGATGTATGACAGAGGTGATTGAGACTCATCCTAAAAAAGGATTTTTCTGAACTTTGGAGGAAAGTTTAAACACACATCAAACAGAATGACAGCAAGGTCTCTTCATACATCTTTTATTATGCAAATTAAAAAAAAATATATGAGAAATGTACTGCTTTCTAGAGGTTTTAAAACAATGCCTTGAGGTTTTCTTTCAGCAATGACTATGCTTTCATCTCATATTTTGCCAGATAGTCTATTTATCTTTAAATCAGTATTTTGCCTATGCAACTGTAATTAAAAGCAAAATCTATGTTATGTTACTTATTGAAATTAAATTAAATTCTTGTTTTTCATTTTTTCCCACACTTTTCTTAGTCAAGTATCAAGAAGAAAATATGCTCTATTAGAGCAACAATGTAACTATTCCCCTTTTTCATGCATGAGTTTAAAAGAGTCACATCCAAAAAGCATTGTCCTCATGTTTGAAATTACAGTTAAGAACATAAAGGTCTGCAGATGTAAATTCTGCTTTAGCTGTCCGGCAAAACTTTTGCAAAGATTTCTACATTCAGGCCAGGAGCTGTAATTACTTTGAGTACTACAGCCAAGGCAGAATAATTTTTCACAATCTTCTGCTTATAGTCATTCAATCATTTTTTTCAGTTCATGTGACAGTATCCAAGCTAGAATAGAGATCTTTCAAAGTGTTCAAAATGACATATCGATATTTTGAGAAGAATGCCAGCACACCATCTTCTGCCTGCATACTCCTTAACAGTGCTGACAACCCTCAGAAAAAATTATTTCTTCTTTCTCAGCCTCGAGTAGGCAAACTAATACTGGGAACATGTTCCAGCTTTAATAAGTTGTCCTAAATGGATATGAAGAATAGGATCATGTTCTACCCTTTTTCAGGAATTACATTAAAAAACCAAAAAGCCAACACAAAACTGTCCTAGAAAGCTATATGGAATAGAAACGCCAATAAAATGTTATTGACTCTACTTAAAAAATAATCAAGTACACGCTTTTCATCAAAAAATAAGCAAAAAAAAAGATCCAGAATATACATACAGAAGTAACTAGAAATTGTTCCTAATAATGCTTTTTCTAAAAATAGGAAATAAATAGGAGGCAAAAACAATGGTATGGATTCCTTTACAGTTTTTTCTGATCCAAATCATCTAAATAATGACTGTAAAATGCCAGTGCAAACACAAACATCAGAACAGAACCTGTATTCTCTCTGTTTCCTAAAAGTACAGATGCTCTGCATGCCTCAGCATCTTAGCGCTCCAGAGCAATTTCAGTAAATTCCTAAGTACCACTCATCTTAAAACACAAATACGGTTTTAAAGTCTGTTGGAATAACGCAAGCTGTTTTTAAAATCAAGGACAAATTTCTTCTTTGTCTAAGTCTCTGCATTCCAAGCTCTCCTCAAGAGAGATGGTTTCCAAATATGTATATATATAGCCTGTCATGGCAGTGCTTAAATCCCATGTTATAGCTGGCACAGTACAAATTTAATGTAGCTTGAAATATAATGTTTGTTTCATGAAAAAACTCTCTTTTCTTTGCTTTTGCTATTTTGTTATTTTTATTACCCACTAGGGCAGTGCTTTGGGTATTCAGTCAGAATACAGAAAACCTTCAATTCTGTCCCCTGCCTGAATTAATTTCCACTCTTACTGTTCAACCCTTCTTCTGTTGCAATTTGCATTTAGTCAAGAGGGTGGAAGGAGAAAAAGGGAAACTGTGGCCCAGGATCCAGAGTTTGCCTAGGATGAGGTAAGATGTTGTTTCCTACCTCACACCCCAGTGAGTTTGGGTCAGAATAAATAGGCAAGGCATGGCATGGAAGACTGCTAACTGAAAAGCTATTACAAGTACATGGGAAAAAAGTAGGTGGATTCTACACCATGCTGCAGAAATTCTGTTTTAAATTAAGGCTCCAAAATTATAAATATATGACTTGGGATAACGTTGTATTGTTTTAGAATAAAAGTGAAAACAATTAAAATGACACTAGAAATGTGAAACCTGCATATATAAAAGCAAAAGTATCAAAGTGTCTGATTTTTTTCTTAACTATCTTTCAGCCCTGACAAAGATACTTTTTATAACTGAAGACAAATTTACATAGTAAGTTCAAAACCATTTGAGGTTTAGCCCACATTAAAAATTATTATTCATTTTTTAAAGTGACTCAATTTGACATGAAGAAAATTGAGCACTCAGTTGAGACTGGAATTTTGTGTAGCATTTCTCCTACAATCAGAAAACACAAAACAGAAGGAAAATTTGTGCAGATCGCATATTTTTCCTACATTTTCTCCTCATCCTCGAAGAAAAATTCTTCACAAGAATTTTTTCCTTAAATAAAAGGACTCACAAGACAACTTAGGTAAAACTTACATGTTATGTACACAGAAATGCTTTTCAATTTAAAAGGAAATAAACATTAGAAAAAATATTGAATTATGAATTGTAATTCTCCACAGAAAGTCATAACAACCTGCATATTTATTGGGCCATAACTAATTTTAACACTTACAATATAATATAGAGTAATAACCACTTTCTACCTCCATATGCCTTTTGTAAACTTATATATTCACATCACAGGCATACAAAACATAAAAGCTTCACAGAAGTTTTTTATACACCTTATTACAATTTAGGAAAGCAAAAGGTCCAATCATATATATACAATCTTCTGCACACCAACAAAGCCTAGCTCAAACTCAAAAGCTCTTCTTTACAGACAAACCAAAGAGAAGCATTGAGAGAAATCCAGCAATCAGTTGGCATCACAATTTTTGTATTCTATGTATTCTAGTATTTTATGTATTCTAGGTATTCTATGGACTTTCCTTTCTCTTGTGAATGCAACAATACAAAAATGCGCACGTATCTAAATTTACATGCACAACTTTTTTTCTTTTTGCCTAGTTCATTTTATTCAGAGAACTGGACAATGCTTTTAGCATATTTAGTTTGAGCTGTGGCTGTGCTTAATCTAAAGCTTTACTGGTCTAGAAATTCCAGTACATTAGAAAGGCCAAGCCTGCCAACAAACCTTTATGCAGCACCATTGAGTAAAAACTGTTCACCTTTTTGTAGAAAGGTTATTTCAGTAAGCATGTGGCTCATCAAGCATTACTCAGGGTTGCAGCATGTCTGTGTTGGTAAGAGATGCCTGATGGCTGCTGCTGAACTCACAGAAGGCAGTGGCTTACATGTCCTCTG